AGTAACAGTTGTCATAATACGAATATTACATAGGTGATTATCCAAATTTTCGCCGTCGATGGGATTTGAACACCCAACCTACCACTTGAGGGGTTGACAACCTGACCACTTCACTAGGTCGCCACACCCCTATTTATTATTAGTTATTAGTATAATTATATTATAGTATATAGTAGTTAGATAATAGAATTTTAATTAACTATTAAAAGTGTGATACAGACATATAACATTAAGTAACATTTATGATGTTACTATTGTCTTACAAACCCCAAGTACCTCTATACAAGTTTTATATATGAATCTCAAGTATTTTCAACACAATCTCCAAGTGTTCCTACATAATCTCAACTGTTCTTGTACAGACTTAAGTACCTTGACATAAGCTCTAAGTGTTTCAAGTACAAATAACAAATACATATAAATATTGTTTTAACTATCTTTGTACAAACTTTACTTGCCTCTGCACAAACTCTACTACCTCAAATACAGTATCAAGAGATATTACTCAAACTTTCACTACCCTTACTAGGTAAAAAGATATATAAAGAATATCTTTTCCTCTTCTCTACCAATTCTAAGTCTCTATACTTTAACTCAGACATAATGACCTTTTAATTATAAAGTATAATATTTCTCCTCTAAAGTAATTCCTACAAGCAAGATTGTTACTATGTATATTATTAATAAAAAGTTAATCTATATACTGTTAATTTATATACTGTTATTATTTTAAACTATTTGTCTATTATTGTGTAGTAAAGTGAATTACTATATCTTTACTCTATATATATTTACAATAGTTAATTACTGTACTAGGTAATCTTGTTACTTGATTGTATTGTACTAAGAAGGCTACAACCCTATAACAATATAAAACACTATTTGAAGAAATAAAAATAGAAAAAATCACAAATAGAGAAATATTAATAAAATGACTTATTATTCTAAAAATAAAAAAAATTTTAAAAAGTTTTTAAACAAGTAAGCAATACAGAAATATATAGACATAGTAATAAGAATAGTATAAATATTTTTTATAATTAAGTATAAAGAATCTAAAAAAATCTAAAAATGAAAAAAAAGATTAATATAATAAACAAAATAAAGAAAAATGTTTAAGCAAGAAAGAAATCATATAGAAAAAAGAAAACAAATAAATTAATTAAAGAAGAAAAGAAAACAAAGAAAATAGTAAAAACAAACCAAATAAAAAAAAAAATATAAAGAACAATTAATATATTTATTACAAAAATAAAAAAGTTCTTTTGATATAATTTTAAGTAATTAAATAAGCAATTTATCTTTAACTAGAATAATATAACAGATTGCATTTAAATATCATTAAGGTAGCTGAATAATACTAGACTTAAGTATTAGAAAGTTCTATATAATTGTATATACAGTCAAATCTCTCTATAATCATCTTTTATATAGTTACAAATTCACTATAATCATATTTATAAATTTACCAAGCTTTTTTATATTATTTTTACTTTTATATAAACACAATTACATTATAATCACTATTATAATTTTTTGCTAACCACTTATATAAATTAATTTCTATATAGTCACATTATAATTATAAATATTTAAAACATTTGTTTCAATAAATGCATCTTAAAAAATAAAATTATTTTTATTATTTTTCTTATTTTTTATTAAATAAAATTTTTTTAAATTTTTTTTTTAATTGATCTATAATAGTTACTCTATATAAAAGTCAAAAAGTTTATTAAGTAAATTGATTTTTTTATATTAAGTAAAGTTGTTCAAAAAAGAAATCTACATATATTATAAATTTTTTATATTTTTTAAAAAATATTTTATTAACTTTTACAATTTATATTTATATAAAAAAATTAACTTTTTTCATAAAAATATAAACTGTAAAAGTTAATTAGTAAAATATTTCTTAAAAAATATAAAAAATTTTATAGTATATGTAGATTGCTCTTTTAAACAACTTTACATAATATAAAAAGACTGATTTACTTAATAAAATTTCAACTTTCTATAAAGCAACTATTATTAATCAATTAAAAAAGTTTTTTTAAAAAAATTTTATTTAATAAATTTTCTATATAATCACTAATTACTTTTATTTGCTTTTTTTTAATAGTATTATGACTATATAGAGGTATTTCTATAATTGTTATACCTCTATGTAATCACTAATTTTTGTATTTCAAGAGTGTAACTATAGAGAGATTTGACTGTATATATAATTTTAAAAATCTTAATAAATTCAATAAAGTTAAAGATATGACTTTACTTTTAATATTTTAAAAAAATAATTTTAATAAAATACTAACAAAAATTTTTCATCAACTGTGATTGGCTGATAATCATGTGATATTAAATTTGATTAATTTGAAAGATTTCGAAAATGATTTGCACTTCATGTAACCTTAACGGTCACTCCTGTTTTTCGATATATTGAGACTAATTTAAATAAAAAAGCCAAAAACAAACTTCATTTCATTATATAGTATATGCGCGTTCGTTATATCAAGTTTATTATAAAATTTGATTAGTAGTGTTATGACGTTCAAGTATTATCTAAAAAAATCTATTTTTAGATTGTGATTGATCTGCATTATACATGATAGTAATATTTTAAATTTTCTATAGCGTAATCAATATAAGAAAGCTTACCCTTAAATTACATATAATATAAATTTTATACAAATTGGTTAATATATTAAAAAGTTTTATTGGAAGCATTTTTTTACTTATTATATAAAAAATCTAGTAAATTATATGTATAAAAAATGATCTACATACACCCTACTCATACAAAAATTACTAATGCTCTAAAAAATGTTATCTATTCCATGCATTATTCATAAATGCATATCGATATTTATGGAAATCATGTTGCAGCTTCACCTAGTTTTTACAGAAACTAAGAAATATTTAAATAACTTTATTATAGGGATGTGTTTTACAGGCTGGAGCCTTAAACTTTAGAAATATAACTTTAATTAAATCGATGAGCAATATACAAATCTCTATTTTACATTTTGTAGAGTATGGCTTGAAGACTTTCAGTTAGCTCTAGCCAATTGGTGATATCGATTAAAATTTCTTTTTGCATTATAATAAAATGTCTCGTAACAACCTCATATTAGCCAATAGTAGTTAGGGTTTTGGTTATTGGTTGTACTAATAGAATTGTTACAAATAAATGGTCTTGCAAATTTTCAACGATTGTTAAGGATATTTACTTACAACTATTAGTATTAGAACATAATTTTTCATTATTGGCTAATTGTTACAATAAAAATTAAAGGATATCTTTAGTTGTTAACATGTTTAAAGATCTCAAACTAGAAATACTTTGAATTTAAGATTTGAATTTTATTCAATTTTGAATCGATTAAGAAACATTAATTCTAATTGAACAATAAGCAGTATGATATTTACTTTTGAAAAACTATCATTCAAAGTAAGACATCATTTAAAGAAATGGCTATCATTGAATTTGACCACCTCAATTTCTTAACTCTCTTTGACCACCAAAAGATCTTAATCCACGCATACCAAATCTGATTCTTGGATTAACAATAGTTATACATTTGACAACACATTGTTTCAAAGGCCAAAAATTGGTCCAAATACTTGCAGTGTATCTACATTTCCAAATACACTCTCTGAATTTTCTGTGCTTTACCATTTGTGAAGTTTCAATATCATCGCTTTCAGAATCTTCTCCACTCGGGACCTCTTCAACATCAGATTCTTGATAAGTTGGCTGGTAGGGAGAGTCTTCAGGTGTTGGATTAAGTCCGTATTTTTCGGGAGCAATATCTTGGAGTGAAAGTTCATCATTAAATGTATCTGCCGAAGCAAAAGTAGCAAGAACAGCGATTATGGCGATAAGAATACACAAAGTTATGCGTTTCATTTTTTGCTTAACAATCAAATTGATTCAATTTCTATGATTATCGTGATTGTTCGCTTGACTGTTTTGTGTTGTTTCATGGTTTATTCGATCGTTTATTTATATTTTTTTTTTGCAAAAGTATCTTTGCTGTTAACTCAAGTTTCGATTAACTTTCGCAGTAAATAAGTTTTACTTTACGAATAATGATCGAAAAGTTTTTACTTTTACGTATCATGATCGAGTTAAATGGATTTTTAATCATACTATCTTATGATTATCTTTTTTTTTCAAAAAAAAAAACTTAATCTTAAGGTTGTTCAAGTTTAATGGTTTTCAAACTGGGAATAAAAAAATTACAATGCCCTACAGAATTTTTTTATTTCGCAGTAGTGCAATATGAAAAAAAAATACAGAAATACATGATTATATTTTATAATGACGTCGGCAAATATTCTTATCATAGTATTGCATAACGTCACTTATTTCAAAACAAGGATTATATCCTTTGCCGGAAGATTTTTATATCATAATTCTAAAATTTTACCTCGTTTTTTTTTTACTTTTTCATGGATCCATTACCAAAGATTCGATTACTATTAAACGACAAAACAACTAGTGACTTAATAATCCGTATTGATGGAAAAATTTATTATGCACATAAAATTATTCTTTTATTAAAATCTGAATGTTTTTGTAAAATTTTTTCTAAATATAAAAGTAAATATTTTGATCTTAGTTGTTCTAAACAATCTGTTTTTAGTGTATGGTATGAATACAAAGATGCCGTAGCTCATGAAACGGAAGAGAATGGTGAAACTAGTAAAAGTTGTTCAGTGACACGAGATCAAAAGAAAGTTGAGATTTATTATGATTATGAAATTTTTGGTCAATTTTTAGCGTATTGGTTAGTTTCTTTTTTTTTTATTTATAGTTTTACCTAAAAGACCTTTTCTATTCGAATGATGATGTTCATTATTCTTGATTTCTTAGTTATGGATGGTCAATTCAGGAAAGAACGACAGATGAATTGTTCACGATCGCGTACTTGGCAAAAAAATTTGACGTACCTGATTTAACAAATTTAACAGATTCTTTGTTAAAATTTCTTCCAAAATCATGGAAATCAGATGATAATATTTGGGAAGTTGGATTGATGGTTAGTAAATGGTTAAACTTGGATCAAACTAGATTAGCTATTTTAGAATTTTTGGTAAATTGTTTGTCAAACGCTGATGATAAAAGTAAGACGGAAAGGATTATAATGAGATTGGAAAAAGATGATTTAAAGGAAGTTGAACGATTAATGTTGGAGGTTTATGGACAGTTGAATGCAAATGCTGAAGGACAAGAAAGCGATGATGATAGTGAGGATAGCGTAGAATCAGATTCTTCAAATTCAGAAGCGTCATGTGACACGACTAAAATAGAAAAGCTAGGAAATAACGATAACACGCATAAAAAGGAAACCACCAAAAAAGATGACGATTCCTCTAGTGAATCAAGCGATGAGTCTAGTGATTTATCTGACTCATCATCATCAACATCGTCTTCATCGTCGTCCTCATCCTCAACATCATCATCCTCAACATCCTCATCCTCAACATCGTCATCATCTTCTAATCAGGGCAAATCAACACTAACGTGAATACTATCACAAAATAACCTTGAGCTACATAAGTGACTCTTACCAAGTATGAATATTACAAGTTGAATTATGCTGCATAATTAAATTGGTACATAAACTCAATAATATTACTATTGTTTATTTACCGCTACGTTTGAGTTTATCAAATTTGTAATATGAATTATTGTTTACCTCGTTGCTTACATAGTAGACAATTTTTGTGCACATCAGTAACAGCTTAACGTGCCTTGGTGTGATAGAGTATGCATAAGTTTAATTTAATAATAATTGATTTGAGGATAACAATATTAAAATAGTAAATTCTTAAGTAATTTAGACAACTTTATTAAAATGTGGGCTATATTCATTATCGGTAGCTAATTGGCAAGAAATAATTCGGGTACTATTTACGGAACACTTAGGGTACCAATTTTATTGAAGGAATTTACAAAGTGATGAATTCTAATTCTTTTTTATGTAATACACTAATATACAGCAATTTCTCAATTTATCTGCCAAGATTTAGATGTTGATCTGTGCAACAGATCTGGCTTCAGAGGACCATAATCGGAAGCTTGTATCCATTGTACTTCCGAAACATTTAACTATGGTACATAACAAACGAATTTGATCGATTGTAACCTGCGTATTTCTAATATAGAAAAACAAAAGATTGAGTTTTGCATTATTAATATTATCCTTTAGTTATTAATTTGTCATATTATGTAATGTAATATATCAAAAATACGAGCGTATGTACAGTACAGACGTACAGCATTTACAGTACGTAAAACATAATCCATACCTATTTTTAGGGATATGGCCGAAACGTTATTACGTATAATTTTCTATAGTAATGATCATATTACATGCACTAATTTTTTCAGGGTAAATCCGAATAAAATCGCTTATACATTTACTAAAATGCTAATTCGTCTTCAATTAATAAATCTAGCATAAATGTATGCCTTATATTAAACAATACTTGCCGTTTCAAGAAAATAAACAATTGTTTATTATTTATAGATCACAATTTCCACAATGTGCATAAGTATAATACAAAATTGTTAATTTTGGTTTTTCAAAATGCATATAAGGTAAGAAAGAAGAGTTTTCCAACCGCCGCATCTCTATATTCTTTATAAGACTTTCATATCTTTGTTTGAACCTGACGCAGGACGCAGGTAACAGGAATTTGCCTACGTCCTACGTGTTTAGCATAAATCTGTGCAAACTATATACGTGGTAACCAATCTCTCCAGCACGTATTAAAAGACAGTAGTGACCAAATTTTATCTTGACATGTAAAAACAGCTAGCATACATATAAATATTTTTACAAAGAATCTATAACAAAGAATTCTTAAAAATTTCAAGATTTAGTTTGATAATAATTAAAGGGAAAAATACCTTTGTATTCAACAACTACGTCATTTTGCACATTGAATTTTGTCTATAATTTAATAACTTTACAAAAATTATCGAATTTTCTCTTCAGAAAAAAAAAAAAAAAACAAAATATGAAAACATCCTTTTTCACCGTTTCATCAGTCCTAATCACTACTTTCCTATACACATCCATTTCATATATACCCATCGTTTCAGGACAATGTGTGGATTTCCCGATCTTTTATGATCGTCAATTCGCAAAACTATCACCCTGTCAAATCATTAAAGAAAATAAAAAACAAAAACCTCAAAAACCTCAAAAATCACAAAATTTCTTAAGTAAATTGGGAAGTATATTCCAATCAAATGGCGATGTCACCTCAGAAGATAATGACTCTTCAAAAAATGAAACCCCTTCTCAAAACATGATTCAAATGGATTTCACTTGTGATTCAAATGATACTTGTGCTAAAGCTAAGAAGGCATTCGAAACAGCGGCAAATATTATTAGCACCAAGATAATTTTGACTACACCGATATTAGTGAATGCATCATTTGTAAATTTGTCCGGTCAAATAGGCATGTAGTCCTTAACATTTTCGTTTACTTAAATATATGTTATTTTCACGAATCACTAATATTTTATATTTCATTAGGTGCTGCTGGCCCATCAAGATTTATTCCGTTAAAAGACAAAGATGGTGTCACCCGATTATACCCTCAAGCTCTTGCCAAACAATTTCAATTTGATACACATCCAGAATATTCTAAATATGATATCACCGCAGCATTCACTTCTGTAGGCAACAGATTTTGGTTCCAAGGTGATCCGTCACCACCAACTAATCAACAAGTGGATATTGTTTTAGCCATTGTACACGAAATGATGCATGGCTTAGGTTTATTATCAAGTTGGGATAATTTTTTCAAACCTGATATACCTGATGCATTAACTCCATTCCCAAGTTTTATTATGAGTATAGATGGTCCTGATACACCTCCTAAAAATGGTACAATAACATTCACAGGATTTCAAGAAACTGCATTGGATAGATATTTGGTTTTTACAGAAGACGGAACACCTATATCGACAGTTACCTCTAATATTAATCAATTTGCTGGTGGAGTTAATTCTGGAGCTAAATTTGATAATAAATCAGAATTTATCAAAGCATTTAAATCTTCACCACAATTTACAACGGCAGCAAATATATTTAAAAAAGCATCTACAGCATCTTCGATGGCATTTATGCCACACGATGCAAAAAACATAAATGATTCGTGTTTACTTGAAACCAGTATTGTACCTTATCTTTCTGGGTCAAGTATTTCACATATAGATTTTAATACATTTGCTAATACTACGGACTTCTTGATGGTATGGAAAGCTCCACGTGGTAAAACTGTTAATGATTTTACTAATGGAACAGATCCATCAAATATTATTGGACCAAAACTTACCAAAATTTTAGAAACTTTGGGGTATGTATTCATTTTTTAAACATTATGATAATGACCTTTATTAAATGTAATAATATAATAATATATAATAATATAATGATAATTATAATCATAATTATAGGTATAAAACCGTTAATAATCCCAATCCTTATAGACCAAATGCGCCATCATCTTCAGATGAAAATGGAAATGAAAATAACAATGAACAATAATAGATAACAAAACTGCAATGACAAATTGTTGTGTACTTGTTAATTCCACATACTCAATTTCAAATATTTTTTTTTGAACCATTTTTATCATGACAAGTTTATACGTATGAAAAGTTTGTCTTAATTGGTGCACCATTATTATACGTAATTATTTCTTAATCTTTATGTCTAATCATAGAAACAAGTTTAATAAGTGTTAAATAGAAAAAGGTACGATGAAGCAGGGCCAATCCAAAAAAAAAAAAAACATTATGATAAAAACTTAATCTAAAATAATTTAATTTCTTTGAAAAAATAATTGTATTTTTTTTTTTTTTTTTTTGAATAAGTCCAAAAAAATTTTAATAATAAAAATTAATAAATTTTAATAAAATAAAAAAATGCAACCTTACATACGTACAATTAATTGCTTATACTGTATAATATCTATCTATATGTATATATACTTTTCATATTTACGATATATACAACTTTGCAAGGATCATACACATTTGAAACCAAGAATGTAAGCCAAGTACAAGCGTACGCTGGCTTTTTTGATAAGATTGTTTTGGTAGTTTGACAGTGATATAACAGGATAATGTACGCATATTATAGGCACTATTAATGTTTTAGTCAAATTAATATATCTATCTACATGTTTTTTATCTCTGCCTTCGTAAGTGGTAATAAGGTTACTGTATATTTAATAATCTTTTGAAACAGAAGCAATGATTTTTGTCTTGCTATCTACGGCTGCTCTCCAAACTATTTGGGATAGCCAGAATTCTGTGATAATTAATATGCAGGCGGTTTCACTATCTAGGCGAAATTGTTATAAAATTATGTTAGTAACTTTACTGGATCATGAGTGTTTGTCTGTTAACGTTGCAAGATCTGGTATAGCATAACAATAATAAAAAACATTATTATACCATTCCACTTAATATCGTTCATACTATATTGTTACTCTTCTGTTAGTAAATTTCATTTATAATTATGCCCATATAATTTATGTAAAATGAACCTTGAGCATTGGTTTTTATCGATATTGAAAATATGATTGTTTTCAGAGAAAAAAGCGATTTGTATATATATACAATAAGGTTTTTAGAAACATTCATTTTCATAATATGTAAAATTTAAGAATGTATGTAGTTTTGTCCTTTACAATATGTTGTATTACACAGAGTATTTTTATTTAATGAGAAAAAAAAAAACTAGATCTCGTTATAGTCACTCTTTATATAGTCATAACCTTGTTATAGCCACTATTCTTTAGTCCTAGATATTATAAAACATATAAATTTGACCTTTATATAGCCACAAGTTTTTATAATCACCAAATTTTTGTTTCCAAATCCCTTCTAACAAAAACAGGCAAATAAAACGAAAAGATTAAAGAAAGAAAAAAAAGATTGAAGTCGATTGATGGTAATGCCAGAATTTTTAAATCTATCTATATTACGCATTCAAATACACTGATCAAATCTTGATATACTAAACCGTAACAGTTTCTCATGCATTTCTAATATCAATTCTTTTGACTATATCCTTAATTTCGTAATCTTGCAAATATGCACTATTTAATAATTATATTGATTATTTTACAAGTTATTTGTCCTGTATGAGTTATCAGGAACAGTACTGTTACACTCAAACTACCTCCTATACAAGTTCGGTATAACTAAAGGCGATAATGAATAAATGCCTTTTGTCGCCTTGTATATGTTGTGCCTCAGATCATAGCTAGATTGTTAAGTGAGGTGCGTAACCTATCGATCGGTCAATAAGCACATATATATATGTATATGTATAGAAATTATTGAAGATTGAACGTACTGAAAAACTTGGATAAAAACTTAGGAAGAATATGCCGTGAAAATTTAGGCAAAAAAAATAAACTATTTGTATAGAGAAAAAAATGTACGTATTAATTGGAAATAGAATGTGCCGTAAAATTTAGACAAAGAAATTCAAAAAGAACGAAGGTGCTGAAGAGACTTAATGTGAAAGAATGCTACTGTTGGTGGTAAAATATCAGAGATTCAAGGATGCTATCGGAGGTATGACGATTCCAAAGTGATTCAAAATATAGAATGCTACTGGAGTTAAATAAACACCAAAGTATGATTTAAAGTAAAGAATGAGAAAAACTGCGAAGAGATCCAAGAAACCGAGAATAAAAAGAGTCAAGTAATCCAAGAAACCGAGAATAAAAAGAGTCAAGTAAAAGATCATATTCAATTTATTTTACTCTTTCGCTAGATCACAGCTTAGATGACATTACACACCTCACCTGACGATTTGCATCTGAGGTGCGTTAGTCTGAGGTAGTACTCCGAGTTGGTAAAAATTTTTCCAATCGACTAGTCGCCAACAAGAGGGTGTACGAAGTTGTTCTGAAAATTTGGAATAGCGGTGAAGGTGTTCTTGACATTTCACCTGCCAATTTAAAATTAGAAATTCCTAAAAAACCTGAAGACTTTGAAATCGAAAGTTCGTTGGATTAGAGCATGCAGGGATATTAACAATAAAATACAAACTAACCATTCTTTAAGTGGAAATTGCTGGCGCTGAGAGTTTTTATTCTGTTTTTATTTTATTTTATGTATTATCATCATTATTATGATTATTACTGTTTTTTTTTTTTTCTTTTACATAAAAATTATCTTTTGTTTTATTAGTATCTTGAAGAATAAATGTACTTTCCTCATAGTTTGGATTTTCGTGGCCGTGCATACCCAATTCCGTCACATTTGAATCATCTGATATATATACAGCAGTTGCTAAAAGGGTAAAAGAATTAATCAGAATTTGATACAGAGAGGGGTGATGAAAAGGCTTTAATATTACTTGATCACATTAATCGTAAAGTTGTTAAACAGACTGTAATGACAACTGTGTACGGTGTAACATTTATTGGGTCTAGGTTACAAATTGAAGTTCGGTTCAAAGAAATCGAAAGTATACTACAAGAGCGACTTCAAAAATGTGTGTTTAGTTGCTTAGAGGAAATTTTTAAAGGAGCAAAAGCAATTCAAGAATGGTTAAGCGAAAGTGCTAAGTGGATTGCTAAAATCTTGTCACCTGAACGCGTGTTAAAATCTGCTGAAGAGATTAAAAATGAAAATGATAATTTATCTGAAATAGAAGTTGGGGATAATATAAAACCTTTAAAGAAATCCATAGTTAAAATTCCGCCTAATAAATCAGCATCAGATCAAATGACTGCAGTGGTTTGGACGATTCCACTAGATTTGCCAATAGTTCAGCCATATCGAAGGCCAAACAAAAGGCAAGTTAAAACCTATCTGCAATCAATTAATATTATAGATTCTGAAACACCTAGTCCAGTAAATAGCATTAAGCATTTCCACCAAATTTTATTCATTCACTTGATGCTATTCATATGCTTATGACTGCTCTTGCATGCAAAGAAAAAGGATTGAAATTCGCCTCTGTACACGATAGTTATTGGTCTCATGCATGTGATGTGGAGATTATGAATAGTGTTATACGCAAACAATTTTTTCGACTTCATAGTCAACCAATAATGGAAAGTCTTCGAAAGGAATTTATTGAATGTTATAAAGGGTATAAAGTTCTAGTTAAAGTGTTACGAAAAGATTTAGGAAGACTAAATTAGAAAAGGTTGTGAAACTTAAATTGGACAATTCCAAGACAATACCACCCGTAGTAGTAGTAGATAATGGATACGAAGATACCATAAATTTGAACGATTTGATTAAAATGACACAGAAATCCCAATCAGAAGATATAAAATTAGAGTCGGAAAATTAAAGAAAAAAAGACAACCTTTGATGTATGTGTGCACATGGGTAGATTTATCGTTTTCGGAATTACCGAATTAGTAAAAAAATAGCCTATATTTTTTCAATTAATAAATATATTTTCTAATGAATTATTATATAAAGTACGTTTCTGATATCCAAACAAATTGTATATTTTAACCCGGCGCAGCAAAAATACAAACCCGACTATTTAAACCTATCTCCATGCATTAATATTAGACTATTTTGCCCATAAGTCCTGCATTGACACTAATCTTTAAATATTGAAAATTACATGACTTAACATTCCCTTATTCGTGGGCCAACTCTACCAAAATGGCCTTCAAAAATACGGATCATGTGGTGGCGCCACCTATGTTCAATATGCAAAAATGCAATACCGATACAGTGTCAAAATTTTCATAGAAATACGTAGCACTATAAATCCAATACTGATTCATCTGCTACAACTACGGCAGGTGGCCCTGGTAGAGTTTAATATACCTGACTAAAAATTAAACAACTTAATTTCAACGACTAAACAAAGCAGTAACAAACACGATATCAACAGTAATACACCGACAGAAACAGCACTAGTAACGATATAATACTTGGCAAAAAATTAATAGCAACTAATTTTTATTGATTTATATTGCACGTAATAATTCTTTTAATTTATTTTTAAAAAAATTTTATTATTTACTTTTAACGTTAATTTAATACGTATTAAAATTTATTAACTTTATAACTTAATTAACGAATAATTTTTTTTAATTCATTTTTAAAAATTTACACTTAAAAAATTTTATTAACTTTATTAAATTTATTAATTTTATTAACTTTATTAACTTTATTAATTTTATTAACTTTATTATAAATACATATTTTTATTAAATTTACATAAAAAAAAAACTAAAACTAAACTAAAACTAAACTAAATATTGAGATACTTTGTTTCAGAGAATATATCTCCTACTTATCCCAACCACCACGAAAAGGTGTATCTCATTGGTTGGGAAGGTGAACCCCAACCAATCTCTCACTCCACCGGTACTAGTCGTGGCTCGGTTCCCGGTGGCGTGAGTAGGTTGTTCCCCTTGAATCATTAATACTTTCGTATTTCATCAAGGTAGCTTTAACTCAATTTATACTCTAGAGTTCGAGTATACCTTTTAAATATCCACATCCAAGTATTCCGTCCAAATATTCATGTTCGTATTCGAGTATTTCTGTCCAAGTTTCCATTCAAAAATTCATGTTCTTGTATCTATAATTTATTCAACAAACTGTATATTAAATAAAAATGTTAGATGTATTAAATATATTATGAGTTGTATATAATTTAGGAATTTAGAAGAAAAGCAATGAAAATAATGAAGTAGCAAGAGGAAAAAAAGACATCCTTATATAGCTTTGTGATGTTTTTTTTTTTTTGACGCGTAAAAATCGAATTAACGCGTAATACATGTAATTATGTAATTTTTTCACACGAAAAAAATTTTTAGTGATTCCGTTGTCGATTTCCTTAATTGAATATTAAGCAGTCGAATATGTTATCATTATGTAATTTATATTCGCATTACTATTGTTCTCTGCGAAATAATCGGAATGAAATCTAGCAAAACTCGTTTAGGTCTGGATTTGAATTTGGATTCTGAACCACATGAATTACGTACGTAATTATTATCGATATACCCCTTTTTTTTTGCTATGTATCAATGTATTCTGTTGGGAGGCAACTCACAAAGAAATATCGTGCCATTTACTACAGTCAGGAATTTTTCAATGCAATTGGAAAATTTTATTGGGCAAATTTGTGCCAATCAATGTCTACGTATTTATTTGGGCAGAAGATTCTTAGATTATATGTTCATAAATAACATTTGCAAGAAACGATTTTAGAATACGTAGTCTTTTAATTTATTGCAGATCATTTCTATATCGCATAAAATCCCTGACTTCGGTGACAAATTTATCCAAACAAAGTAATATATCACAAATTATCATCGGAGTTAATATTACGGCAAAATCACCGGATTCGGCGTTTGACGAAACTATGACACCCTTCGCATGTGTTAATACATCTTTTGTTTGAAGTCATGTCTCTATGCTACAGAATACACATGAGGCCTTCGATAATGTTTTATCTATTATGAAGAGCTAGATAAAATTAAATATATAGTAAATATCCATACTGTATTCACTAAAATATTATTTTTTCGGTCTTTAAAATAATCTACGTGAAAAAATTTTAATTGAAAAAAAATATAATATATATACTCGCGTAGTTTAATTTGATAACGTAATTACTATACGATAATACCGTTTGATACCCACGTGCATATTTTTGAAACCCTATACAATAACTATATATTATTACGTATATGTATAAATTGCTCCCACAAGGTATTTGCTTCGCAAACTCTACCAGGGTGGCCTTCAAAAATACGGATCATGTGGTGGCGCCACCACATGATCCGTATTTTTGAAGGCCACCCTGGTAGAGTTTTCGAGGGCCTACATTGATTAACCGATCAAATCCTAAATTATGAAACGAAAAGAGTAATAAAAGGCAAAAAAAAAGCAAAGAAACTGGTGCTAAACCTATTTTGGTGCACTAATAAGAAATTTCGGGAGAGTAATTTTACCAATAGCGTCTTTTCCAACCTTAACTTCAAATCAATTATAACCCTTAAATTTTATTGTGTATCACTTTGCGTAGACACTAGTTGAAGAATCAAAAATTATATATATTTATATTTTGTAATATCAAATAAGCAATACCGTTATATCTTAAAAATGAAATTGACTACTTATTATCTTTACGCAATATTATTTTATTCCTTCTCTGTTTTAGTTTGTGCTGATGATTACGATCCAAGATCTGATGTTTTTGATCAATTAATCAATACTCTCGTTCCGATAATAATTATTTCTTTTTTCAACTTAAATTCTGAAAAAACAACAAATCATAAATGGTTTAATATCAAACTTTTTTTTGACGATATGTTATTTTTATCATCCCTTTATATCTTACCGACTGCTGTGATGTTTAAAAATAAAGAATCCTACGAAATTCCAATCTGGATTATAATACTTTACGGTGCAGCGACTTGTATCATTATAATCAACATAATATTAATAAGATTTGTTAAATTACATGTTTTATTTGGCGAGTTTACAGTATATTTTCTCTTTTCAACAACTATAACTCATGTAATTTCTGATATTTGTTTTATGTTTTATTCTCAAGCCGCTTATATAAATTCATTATCTACAATATTCATTTATTTGCATGGAATTAGCGGAATTTTTTGTATGCTTGAAATATTAATAGCGATATTGTATATAGTATTAGTAATGATTTCTGGCCTATTTTCATTTAAATTTCCAAACTCATTAGAAACCTTTTTTTATAAGAATCATCATTATAGTACACTTCTTATTCCTGTTTTCCTACTTTTTACTCCATTAATACAAATGTTAAATATGGCATTATTATTCGGTAATGACTATTATTGGACAAAATCAATACTCGCCCTAAATCTGATTTATTTTACGAGAATGTTAAATTATCTTAAGAATGCTCCGTTTTGCACAAGTGATGAATTTTGGAAAGAAAAAGGATATAAATCTTTAATGGTATACATTATTCGTATCATTTATTATGATGAAAATGAAAGTGTGTTCAAGAAATTATTTTTATATCTAAAATTTGGAAAAACAAGTGAATTTGAAGATTCCTCGGTGCAATCTATAATCGAAAGACTCGAATATCTTGAATCGAAATTTCATTCAGAAAAATCTTTAACTATATAATACGTAAAGCTATCCAAAAATCTTGCTGATTGCTTCTGTTTATTTTATTTATATAATAAATATATTATTTATATTATCTAACAACTATCAATCTTGTATTTAATCTAATGTTGTTAGTTGAAATTGGTTTGAGCTTGTAGAAATATTTCGACATTTGATATTTAGTCTGCCGAAATTCTAAAATAATTCTGAAATGTCTAAATTAAAAAATATATAATTTATTAGTAGGTATCCGAACTTGTTTTTTTGTGGATTGCATGCTATATACAAAAAAAGATTTGATCAAAAATGGTTTCTGGCCCTATTAACCAGGTTTAATTACATATGTTGTAAGTAGATAAATTCGAAATTTTTATATAACCTACATTTTGGGGTTGATTTGTCATATACAGTATGTTGCAAAAATAACCAGAATTGGAAATCATGTAATTGTGGCATAGCAGTATCATTAGAATTAAATAAAATTTATACAATTTATAATATATAACTAGATATTTATTTATTAAAAA